TATATACTGTTTGTTTAAAATAGAGTATTTTTATTTCATTCCTTAACTCATCCGCACAGCAGTGGTATCACACTTCAGACGCCATTCAATTACTGATTTGTACGGTACAACCGATGGGAACCTGCTCCGTTTTCTTCCGACTTTTCTAGCTTTCTGTTTTTACTTTGTACATTGAGCATTGCTTATTTCCTTTTCAGAAATGTACAGGACTCTGGAATATAGAAATGGAGTGATGTTGACCTACCACTTTTAAAGAAAAACAAAATGAAACAAAAATAAAAGATCATTATATGAAGCCATCCAAAGTAGAGTTTATTTGAGGATCCGCAGCCTGAATTAAGCACATGTAGTATTCCTGGGTTGTTTTGGTTTTGGTTTGGTTTTTGCCATAGGGCACATGTGCTCCGCTGAGAATGATAAGAGAGACAGAAAGAGGGAACGTGCGAAAGTACTCCCAGGGGGGTTGGCCACGCCGCAATCCCTCCTCTTCCATTCGCCCCTCAGGATTTGGGGCATGCATGTACACACACCTGGAGTGAGTTTCAGGCTGCCAGGTCTGGGACTTGAGCATGATCAGCCACACGGGAATCCAGCGCCTTCACCACCACTCCACCTTTTGGCCCGTATTCCTGGGTTTTAATTGATTAACTGCTGTTCTTTTCTCAAATTATTGATATGGTTATTTAAACATTTAGAGTAGGATCAAGCATCCTCAGTCTTTTTTATCCCACCACACAACTAAAACTCACTGGATTTGTCACTGCACTCAGGGATGTCGCAAAGCGTAGGAAGGAAATTCATTCTGCAAGAAACCTACCGAGATCCATTCGTTCGTTCAGAATCATAGCCATTCAATCTCCAACGAGCTCCTTTGGAGACCTTGGAAAATTGATTTTCAGATTTATGCTCAATACAACAGCTCAGGGGACCAACAGATGGCGTAATGGCTATGTCACTGGACTCCCATGTAGTCGACCATGGTTCACGTCCTGGACCCGGTGACTTAAACTCATGCTGGGTGCATGTGTGCCCAAAATCCTGAGAGGAAAATGGAGGAGAAGGGATTGCGGCGTGGCCATCCCCCCTGGGGGGTGATTTCTCGCTTTCTGTCTCTATGTCTGTCTCTGTCTGTCTGGTGAGCACACGTGCCCTATAGCAAAAAAAAAAAAACCGACAACCAAGGGGGTGTCACAGTCCCTTCCCCTCTGTCCTGGACATGGTCAGTAAACACCCCCTTCCCCCCTTCCCCATGCATGCCAGTCCCCATCACACCACGTCTCAGCGTCACAGCCCGGCCTTGTCCACACCCACCCGCAGAGTTGAAGGTGCGTGAAACTCATACCCCTCCAATGACGGAAGCTGACAGGTGCAGGAGTGAGAAAGCCCAGGGGACCTGTCTGGACAGATGCTTGTGCTCCAGACAGTAAACACCCCCTTCCCCCCTTCCCCATGCATGCCAGTCCCCATCACACCACGTCTCAGCGTCACAGCCCGGCCTTGTCCACACCCACCCGCAGAGTTGAAGGTGCGTGAAACTCATACCCCTCCAATGACGGAAGCTGACAGGTGCAGGAGTGAGAAAGCCCAGGGGACCTGTCTGGACAGATGCTTGTGCTCCAGAGCGCCCCTGCCCACCCCCTCCTCCCATCCACACACACACACCCTTGCTTGGCTTTCTTCCTTCCTCTGCTGGTTTCCTGCCTCCTCGTCCTTTCCTTTCCTCCTCCCGAGAGCCCTTCCTTAACAAATCATGAGCATGCAAATCTGCCTCTCCACTTCCAGAAGACCTGACCTAAGACGCCCCATCACAGCAAAACAACATGCTTCAGAACTGGGTTAGGCAGAAAAATAGGCCACAGAGTAAAATCATCATCAAAAAGAGTCCCAAAGCCAAGGTAAGTTTTCGTCTACACAAGCCAAGAGGAAGAATGGATTTGACCACGGGAGAAGATGCCCATCTTACCCATGGGGATCGAGTTGGCAGGTAACCCCATGGAGAGATCAGTGTGACACTGGGCTTTGCCCCTCTGGTGGGGGTTAATCCCCTACAAGATAACGTGGGATAGGGAACAACTGATTCCGGGGCGGAGGGAGGGCCGGCGGTGGGGGTGAGGGCGGATGACTGGGAGAACTCGTGAAGCTCTGTGGAGCATCGCTTGCTCCTCCTAAACACAATGAATTAAAACCACATTTTTAAACATTTATACTAAAGTTTGGCAATGGGTGACTGAAATACCTTTCTCCTTTAAAAAGATATCTTTTAAAAAGATCTCTCTCCCGCTCTCTCTCTCTCTCTTTTAGCAGATTTTTTGCCTTAGGGTGCATGCAAGTGCTGGGGAGTGAGAGCGACAGGGACAGTGAGAGGGAAAGTGAGAAATCACCCCCTTGGGAACCAGCAGTTAGCGTAATGGCTATGTCGCTGGACTCCCACGTAGTCGACCGCAGTTCGTGTCCCGGATCCGTTGGCTTAAAACTCACGCCGGGCGCGTGTGCGTGCGTGCCCAAGATCCCGAGAGGAGAATGGAGGAGAAGGGATTGCGGCATGACCATTCCCCCTGGAGGGTGATTTCTCACTTTCTGTCTCTATGTCTCTCTCTGTCTGTCTGGCGAGCGCACGCGCCCTATAGCAAAAACCTCTCAAAAAAAAAAAAAGAAAGAAATCACCCCCTCCATCGGGGATGGTCACACCACAATCCCTTCTCTATTCTCTTCCTAAGATCTTGGGCATATGCGTACATACACCCAGCATGATTTTGAAGCCACTGGGTCTGGGACTTGAACTGCAGTTGGCCATGTGGGAGTCCAGCAATGTAACAGCTACACCATCTGCTGGTCACTCTTTTTTTTCTTTTCTTTCTTTTTTTTTTTTTTTTAATTTGTGCACTTGCTGGAGTGAGACAGAGAAAGCAAGAAAAGCTCCCCATGGGAAATAATCACGCTGAAATCTCTTCTCCTCCATCTCTCCCTCCTTTGGGGACTGTGGGTATGCATGCACACACACCCAGTGTGTTTTTCAAGCCACTGGGTCCAGGACTGGAACTGTGTGGTTTGCTATGTGGGATCCAGCTCACCTCCAGGCCATGGGCTCTCCAAGAAACTTTCTATGTACTTCTACTGGCCTTATTAAAATCCTAGTATGGTGGGGCCAGCAGATGGTGTAGTGGTTAAGACACTAGATTCCCATGTGGCTGACCACAGTTTGAGTCCTGGACCCGGTGGCTTGAAACTCACACCAGGCATGTGTGTGTTGACACCCAAAATCCCAGAAAGAGAATGGAGGAGAAGGGATTGAGATGTGGCCATCCTCCCCAGGGGATGATTTCTCGCTTTTTGTCTTGTCTCTCTATCTCTATGTGTCTCTCTGGCAAGCACATGTGCCCTATAGCAAAAACTCTCTCTCAGGGCCGGCAGGTGGCAAGGTGGTTAAGAACACTGGATTCCTACATGGCTAACCATGGGTCAAGTCCCAGACCCGGTAGCTTGCTTTCTCTCTCTCTCTCTCTCTTTCTCTTTCTCGCTCCGTCCCTCTGGTCAAAGTGGAAAATAGATAAATAAATAAAGTTACATAAAATAATTCTTTAAAAAGAAATCTCTCAAAAAAAAAAAAAAAATCCTGGTGTAGTGACAAGTGATGGGAGGAAAGAGGAGAGAGTGAGCACCTACCCAGGAGTCTGTCCTGGCCAGACAGAGTGCTGTCCCCAAACTAACCTCATTCAGACACAGAAATGAGCTGTTGCTGCCTGCGCCCGTTGTTGGCAAGGAAGCAAAGAAAAGGACCTGATATTTTTGGTTGTTAATGACTATTTTGGTCACACTCCACCCACTTCTGACCCTGCAGAAGTAGGGGAAGAAGAATGACCGAGAAGCAGGAGGAACTCTCTCCTGGTGTAACTAGTTATCTCTCTCTCTTTTTTTTTTTTTTCCGATAGAGCATGTGCACTTGTCAGAGAGAGACAGAGAGAGGGAGAGACAGAGAGAGGGACAGAGATAATTCACCCCCGGGCATCTGGCCGCAGTTGCTTCTCCTCCCTTCTCCTCTCATGTTTTGGGCACACACACATGCACCAGTGTAATTTTCAAGCCACTGGGTCCAAAACTGGAACCGTGGTCAGCAAGGTGGGAGTCCACACCACCTGCTGGCCCCTCTGGTTACCTTTCTTTTTTTCCTTTTCTTTCTTTCTGTTTTTTCTTAATTTGCCAGGGAGTGTGTGTGTGCTCATCAGAGAGAGAAAGTGAGGGAGCACTTGTTCACACCACAACCCCGAAGTCGGGGCCAACGGCAGGCCCCTCACTTCGCTAGAGTTTTTCAACTTTTTATTATGAACATTTTCGAGCAATCAGGAAAGCAGAAAGATGAAGTGCAATGAGTAGCGACATGCTTTATTTAATCATCGGAGCACTGGGCCATCAATGCCTCATGTGTGTTTTGCAGAATTGTTTCAGAGTTACACACCCACCTACGTCGCCCCTCACTGCTTCACCGTGCGGCTGCAAAGAATTAGGCCATTCCTTTTCCCAGCCGCAATTTGCTTACCAGCCTAATACTATTAACATGAATTCTTTAATGATATCTAATTCTCATGTCCTATTCAGATTGTCCTCACTGTCTCACCACTGTCTACCATAGCTGTTTTTCTCTAACCGGGATTCCACGAACGATCTCACATTCCCATTCGTTTTCATGCCTCTTAAGACTCTCTTAATAGGGACCAGTAGTTAGCATAATGGCTATGTCGCTGGACTCCCACGTAGTTGACCGCGGTTCGAGTCCCGGACCCAGTGGCTTAAACTCACGCTGGGTGCGTGTGCATGTGTGCCCAAGATCCCGAGAGGAGAATGGAGGAGAAGGGATTGCGGCGTGGCCATCCCCCCAGGGGGTGATTTCCTGCTTTCTGTCTCTCTGTCTCTCTCTGTCTGTCTGGCGAGCGCACGCACCCTATAGCAAAAACCTCTCAAAAAAAAAAAAAAAAAAAGACTCTCTTAATAAACGTTTGTTCCCCACACACACATACCTTTTTTCCTAACATCGACTTTTTAAGGCAGTGAATCTGAGTTCTAAAAATAAAACTGCTCTATTTACTAACATAGGGAAAAAAAAAAAAAAAAGACGTAACTGTCAAACAGATCAGAAACCCCCATCTCTCCGGCCAGCTCGCTTGCTCCCTGTAAACTAGATCTAAGAGGAATTCAAATAATCAAGAAGTTGCCTGGTGACAGCGGAATTAGTACAAAGGAAACAAATTCTGTGGTTCAAACGTTTAAAGATACGAAGCTTTACCAGCCTGCTTCATCGTGGCCGATTTTCCTATTTCTGTGTGTTGTTTGGCCAAATAGTGCCCATGGGGGAGAGAGGGTTTACATGGCTCAGAACCAACTTAGTGCTAAGTAGAAATTATTTAAAAGCTCTCAAGGGGGCTCAGCTACAGGGGGTATGACGGAAGCACAGGGCTCTTCAGTGCTGGAAGTCAGAGAGAAGATCAGGGTTCGGTTCCAGGTGGACCCACTCTTACCAGGTGTAATGCAGGCCCATTTCCCAGCCTGGCTGGGAAAAGCTGGTGGCAGAATTCCAGCATGAAACTTTGTTGAAGGTGACCGTCATTCCCTCTCTCCGTCTCTGTCTCTGTTTCTCTCTCAATAAAACGACAAAAATATGCACATGTAAGATTCAGAAAGTTTTTTTTTTCCTATTTTCAAATGAACTATGTAGTAATTATACTTTAGGGTTCAAAAATGTGTACTCTCTACCTTCATTGTCTTCAACATAAAACAATTAATCTGGGCGCCAGCAGATGGCACAGTGGTTAAGGCGCTGGACTTCCACATGGCTGAGGTTGAAGTCCCAGAGCTGGCAGCTTAAAACTCAAGCCAGGCGCCAGTATGTGCATGCTTAAAATTCCAAGAGAATAGAGGAGAAGGGATTATGGTGTGGCCATCCCCCCCACGGTGGGGTGGGGGGGGGGGAATTTCTCATTTTCTCTCTGTCTCTCTGGCAAGTGTGCATGCCCTATAGCAAAAAGGAAAAATAGATAATGTCCCAGGTCCCCATCATAAGTGACCACAGGATCACAGCATCTGAGAGTGGGCATTAATGCCATCTTACAACTGAGGCAGGAGCAAGTGGCAGACCAGAACAGGGTGGTCAGGTCTGAGGTCCTCACTGCTTTGCTACCACGATCTCCTATTGAAAGGATCCTTGTCCAAACAGCCGAAGCGTGAGGGGACCTGGCCAGTGTCCAGATGGCCCTCATCCCAGGCCATTACATCCTCAGTGTACTTTGGGATAGTCACTGCTCTTTGAGACGCAAGAGGTTGCTCTGTCTTCTCCCCTATTCTGGAAGTGCCGCATGTGTTTTTAAGAGGTTTCTGCCTTAGGTGCACATGCACTGGCCAGAGAGAGACAGTGAGAGGGGAAGGGAGAAATCAACTCCCAGAGAGATGGCCACGCCGCTTCCTTCTCCTCCATTTCCTTCCTAGAATACTGGGCAGCACACACACGGTGCCCAGTGTGATTTTCAAGCCACCAGGTCCAGGACTCATACCGCGCTGGACCACCTGGGAGTGCAGCTAGGCAACCACTGCGCCATCTGCTGGCCCAGCAGTCGAACTGCGGTCGACTGCATGGAAGTCCAGCGACATAGCCATTACGCCATCTGCTGGTCGCCCAGCCCCAGCTCTTGCATGCCTTTATTTCTTCTGGTACTATTCTTAGCCTGCGCCGCTTCCCTTGTGCCCAGAAAGGGGAAAATCCCAATCAACAGTGTCTCAAAGATGCTCACACCAGATTCAAGGCTGCCCGATTTTCTTTTGAAGTTGAAGAACCATGTCACTGAACTCCCATGTAGTCGACTACGGTTCGAGTCCCGGACCCGGTGGCTTAAAAACTCACGCCGGGCACGTGTGCGTGCGTGCCCAAGATGCCGAGAGGAGAATGGAGGAGAAGGGCTTGCGGTGTGGCCATCCCCCCTGGGGGGTGATTTCTCGCTTTCTGTCTGTGTCTGTCTTTCTGGCAGCGCCCTATAGGAAAAACCTCTCCAAAAAAAATTGATAGAGGGCTCGTTTCCTGGCGTTCAAATGTGTTGTATGTGCTAATTCCATTTCTCGAGGGCTTTGATGATTAAGAGACAGAATCAGTCCATTTTTTTGGGGGGGGAGAGATTTTCGCTATAGGGCGCGTGCACTCACCAGACAGACAGAGAGAGCCATAGAGACAGAGACGCATTCCATTTTTCAGATGAAGAAAAGTCATCTACTACGCCAGACTGCACGTCAGAGTCAGGACAGCAGCTTGGGCGCCACGTGTCCTAGACCACGCCCTGTCCAGGGCCACGCCCCACATACCTAGACCCCGCCCCACAGTCCGTAACACAGGACTTAACAGGAACCCAGCCCAGACCCTACAGCTGGGAGCAGTGCCCTCCCTCCCCTGTCCAGGGCTACAGTCACTGGTCCCTGGGTGGTCCCTTGAACTGATATTTTTTTCCCATGTGCTCATTGGAGAGACAGAAAACAAGAAATCACCCCCTCCCCATCCCTTCTCCTCTAGTTTCTTTTCTGGATCTTCAGCATGCACACTCACACATGAGTTTCAAGCCTCAAGCCACTGGGGCCAGGACTTGAACTGCGATCAGCCATGTAGTCCAGCACCTCAACTGCTACGCCACCTTCTGGACCCCTATGAAATATACTTTCACAGGCAGACTTGTTTCATGCTGGTTAGTTGATGATGCTCTTCTCTGGCTACTCCATGGTTGGCCTGACTTCCCCCACGTGTAATCACCTGCAGCTGCCTGATCCTCATCTGTCTGGAATTTTCCATGGAAAGAAAAGCTGTTGTGCTGACCTCATAGTACAACTGGTAAATGCGCTAGATCCCCCATGGCCAACCATAGTCAAATTCTAGCCTCAGTGGCTTAAAAAAAAACATACTAGGTTGGGGCCAGCAGGTGGCATGGTGGTTAAGGCACTGGATCCCACATGTCCAACTATGTGGTTCAAGTCCCAGACCTGGAGGCTTGGAAAACACACCAGGCATATGTGTGGTCATGCCCAATATTCTGAGAGAGATGGAAAAGAAGAGAATTGTGTCATGGCTATCCCCCTTGGGGGAGGGGTGATTTCTCACTTTCCATCTCTCTCTCTTTATCTCTCCTGTGAGTGCATGCACCCTATGGCAAAAAAAAAAGAAAAAGAAAAAAGAAAAACAAAACAAACAAAAAATATGCTGGACCCGTGTGCCTCAGCTCCTGATAGGCTAGAGAAATAAGGGGAGAGAGGGACAGTGCAGTAGCCATGCCCCACTGGGAGTTCCCCTTCCCTCTCCTCTCTTTCTCTTGCAAGTGCATGTCCTCTGGCAATTAAATAAAACAAAACATCCAAAAAGGTTATCTACAATTTTTTTTTTTTTAATTACAAAAAGAGAAGCACTGTCTCAGAGGCAGAGGATGTCTGTGGGCCACAGAAAGCCCAGCCATGGATCAGGCTCCCTGATCCCACACAGTCAAGATCAGCAGTTTTCTTTCTTTAAGAATTCTTTTTTAGGGACCAAAAGTTGGCGTAATGGCCATGTCGTTGGACTCCCATGTAGTCAACCAGGGTTCGAGTCCCAGACCTAGTGGCTTAAACTCACACCAGGTACGTGTGCGTGAGTGCCCAAGAGGAGAATGGAGGAAAGAGGATTGCAGCGTAGCCATCCCCCCTGGGGTGGGGGGTGATGTCTCTTTCTCTTTATGCACCCTATAGCAAAAACCTCTCCAAAAAACAGAATTATTTTTAAAAATTTGTTATTTTTTAACTTGCTATAGTCATCGAGATAGAGAAAGCAGGGGTAGGGAAGAGGGAGTGAGAAAGCAAGCCGTCAGGTCCAGGACTCAAACCATGCTCAACCATGTGGGAGTCCAGTGCCCTAACTACCACGCCACCTGCTGGCCCAAAGCAAGCATTTCTAAAATCCGGGTTCAACAGCTGCCACTGATGATACGGATGACTCGCCCCCAGCTCAGGTCAGTTCTTAACAAACAGGAAACATATTCTCTAAAGGGCATGTTTCCACAGAGCCATTTCAAGAAAAACAAAATACTTTTATTATATTTTTTAAATTTACCACATGATACCGTATTACTGTCGGAGAGCCATTTCACAAGCATTAAAGTAAAAGGAAGAAAATAAAGTCAGAAGAGCCGCCTCATTTTCTTGGTAATATCGAGGTCCAGATATTCGTCCAGAAAGCTGTTTGCGATCCCCAGGGCACCTAGGACACCCAACAAGGCCAACGCACTCAGGCTCAACTGGAAACCAGCCATCCTGCAGGAGGAAGAGGAAGGCCAATGACAGTGGCTCTAGCGCAGAAGCTGGGAGTGCCAGGGCAGGGCAGGCCGGCGCTCAGCGGCACACGCAGAAGTGCTGCATGTTTTTGCCATTTGCGATTTTCAGTTCGCCATAGAAATCAAAGGGAAGGTCTAGCCACAGAGGTCAGGCATCCTTGAATAGTCAAAGGATTATCAAGGCTGGGATTATTTCCTTGGTAACTTCCTAGAGACGTGCAAAAGTTTTGCAGGGATTTTAAGGGTCCACCACACCCCGTGCACAGTTCTGTGCTCGCGTTTTCTCATCTCAGGCCCAACTGTGTCTGGCCGGGCAAAATTGGGATCACCCTTTGGAACTGCAGTTCTCAGGGCTATCTGTACTTCTCAGGGACTGGAAAGGACACTTCGTCCTGCTCCGTTTTACATAACTGTGTAACTATTGGGTCCTTACCTTTTTTTAGGAGCTTCTGCATATCCCCAGAAGTACTGGTGGCGGGCGTATATGTACACCAGACCCAGGCACGTGGCAAAGACTGCAGAGGGAAAAGAAACGGTGCAGAATGTGAAAGCAGCCTCTGACCCTGGACTATGACAACTGAGAAGACACTCACAAAGCAAACGACTGGGGCCAGCAGACAAAGTGATCACATTGCTGGACTCCCACTTGGCAGTTTTGAGTCCTGGACCCAGTGGCTTGAAATTCACAAGATGCACCTGTGTGTGTGCGCCCAAGCTCCAGGAGAAGAATGGAAAAGGGATTGTGGTGCGGCCATTGCCCCTGAGGAGTGATTTCTCACTTTCCCTCTCACTGGCGCTCTCGCTCGCTCTCTCTTTTGCAAGCGCAGATGTCCTAAGGCAAAAACTCCTACAAAATAAGTTTAAAAAATAAAGCATACAGGGAACCAGCAGTTAGCGTCATGGCTATGTCGCTGGACTCCCACGTAGTTGACCGCGGTTCGCGTCCCGGACCCGGTGGCTTAGAACTCACGCCGGGCACGTGTGCGTGCGTGCCCAAGATCCCGAGAGGAGAATGGAGGAGAAGGGATTACGGCGTGACCATCCCCCCGGGGTGGGGTGATTTCTCGCTTTCTGTCCCTATGTCTCTCTCTGTCTGTCAGGCGAGCGCACGCGCCCTATAGCAAAAATCTCTCCAAAAAAAAAAAAGTAAAAAAAATTAAAGCATACAATGGGGCCAGCAGGTGATGTGGTAGTTAAGGTGTTGGAATTGCCACATGGTCGACACATGGTTGAAACAGTCCCAGACCTGGTGGCTTGCTTTCTCACTTTCCCTCTCTCTCTCGCTCTCTTTCTGGTCAAATTAAAAATAAATAAATAAAAATTTAAATGAAATTGTTTTTAAAAATAAATGAAGCAGGGGCCAGTAGATGGCGTAATGGCTAAATCACTGTACTCCCATGTAGTCTACCACAGTTCAAGTCCCAGACCAGGTGGCTTAACTCATGCCAGGCACGTGTGCATGCATGTTCAAGATCCCAAGAGGAGAATGGAGGAGAAGGGATTGTGACGTGGCCATCCCCCCGGGGGGTGATTTCTCACCTTCTATCTCTCTGTCTCTGTCTTTCTGGTGCACACACTCTCGCTTCTATCTCTCTGTCTCTGTCTTTCTGGTGCACACACATGGCCTATAGCAAAAACCTCTCCAGAAAATAAATAAGTAAATAAAATTTTAAAATAAATGAAGCATATGAATGTATCTAACAAATTACTTAAAGTAGACTGACTATATTTAAAAAAAAAACTCTTGCAATTCAATAATAAAAGTAAAACAACTTAATGTCTTAAGTGGGACAAAATATTTGAATAGACAACTCACATAGGAAGATAAACAAGTGTGCCAATAATAACACAAAAAAAATCTTGATATGATTCGGCATCAGCAAACTGACACTTAAAAGTACAAATGAGGGAACCAGCAGTTAGCGTAATGGCTATGTCGCTGGACTCCCACGTAGTCGATCGCAGTT